CAGGTTTCTCTGAAAACAAATATTTGTGTCTATTAATGTATGAATATATAAAGAAAAAAGTTTATACAAAGCCGAGGCTCTAGACAATCAAATTAGAGTCCACCTCAAAAACTTCACAAGAAGATGTTGTTTTTGATGCCCAAATATCATCAAATTAATTATCTTGACATCACGATGCACAGACATGAGAAAAAAATAGATTTCAAGTTCTGGAAATAGTTCATCTTGTAACGCATTTTTGGACTGCCAATTTTCAAGATTTTGAAGTTTTCAAAGATCTGCTCGATCTACACTGTTTTTGAAGTTTTAAATTTGATAATTAAAGATGAAAATATATTTTAAAGCTATCACAAAGATTTCTAGTATTGAGACCACATTTTTTGACACTATTTGAAGGTGCGATATGCTTTGATTATTTAGAGCCTCGACTCTATACAAACCTCGCCCATAAAGAAACTTATCTTATATAGACAAATAAGAAATGATATGAATAGAAATAAATCACAGACACCTATACTTCACCCACAAAAATGACTCCAACGCCCCTTTTAATCCCATTTCTCGTTCTCTAAAGCTACAATTTACACCATCACTAGTACTATTCCCTCTATTTAAACTGTGAAGCTCATTGTGATGTGGGGTAGTCATGCCCAAGTGGATTCAATAATGCAGGTATATGGGACACAAGATAGTTAATCTCCACACCCCAAATGGAACATTATCACATCCATTGATGGTACATGTCATGCAATGGCATTTGGTGTCTTATGTTCTTGACATTAAGAAGCCCAACAAAACATTTATCAAAATACTCTCTCTGGCCCTGCTGGTGCCATCATAGAGGTTGAGGTTGATGGATGTCCTCTTTGTAGGTGACCCTCTACCCATGCCTTAATAAATGAAACTCATTTAACATTATATATGATTAAAAGTTTTTATTTTTATCCTTTACTAGGGAAAGTGATGATGCTTTTTGGGGCTAAACCCTGAAAGGCTATTTTGGTAATTTAAGAAGATCCAATAAGGGGACCCTTGGACATTTTCGAAAAATACATTTACTGATTTCATCATTGTGTGAAAATTCAGGGTCATTTATGTAAGTATTGTTAATATAGGAACGGAGAATGAGAAAAAAAAGGATAGGAAATGAGACCTTAAAAAGGGAGTGGGCATTTAATTTAATTTAAAGTTGGTAATTGAAAGGAATATTTTAATTTTGGTACTATAAGTGCATGATATTTTCAGTCGCATCGGGGTATAGAAAGAGGACGGTAGGGTGCACACCTTTGAAACTCTGACCATTATTTAGCAAGGACCCAGTTTTTATGCGGTCAAGCCCGCATATGTAAAACTGCGGGCCTATTAATAAATCTATTTTTCAGATAGATTTTTTGAACTTAATTTTTAAGGACATGTAATATCTAACATGGAGATCATGAATATGAAAAAATAAGTAACTTTTAAACACTAGAAATAATAATTATAGTAAGAAAACATTTGGACAGTTAGTTTCCACTGTTTTGTGAGGAACACCTACTTGCATCCATCTTTAAGATGGATGCTTTACACTTTTTGGACTGCATATGTAGTCATGCAGTCCAGCCCGCACGAAACAATTTTCCTTTAGCCAACGACATTTGCTAGGGCGGGCAATGGACCTCTTTGCCGGGGCCCTAAAAAAAATAGGGCTTGGGCACGGACTATGGCTCGAGGGCCAGGCCAGTGTCGATCTGGTTTGGTCCAGGCTAACCTTTTTATTGTTTTTTTCATTTATTTTTACTCATTTGTAATTGGAGTGTCCCAGTCTAGCCCAGTAGGGACAAGGGCCAGGCGTCCAAGCCCGGGGGAAACAGACTCGACCAATCGTCATCCTTAACCTCCACATGGTCTACCAATGACATCAAATTCGTTGCGCGTTGGTCGAAGAGGCCGAAGCCTTCGGATTTTAGGGTATAAATCGAAGAGAAACGAAGTTTGGTGCTGCCATTTCGATCAAATTTGAGTTGCTTCATCAAATTCGGGTTTACTTCGGCCAGCAAAGAAATAGATATATAAAAGTATTTTTTTATTTTTATTTATTTTTTTAATTTTTAATTTTTTCCATTCTTTGTATGTATTTTATATATAAATATCTAGTTTATTTATACTAAAAAAAAAAAAGTCCGAAGTCTTCTCCCGAATTGGCCAATGTACCGAATTGCTTCATTTTTCTCACCAAACTGAAGAAGAATCCAAAGCGAATCTAACAACATTTGTGGTCTACTGTTATTGTTGCCTTTTAGTTTTATTTTATTGGGAAAGGTTTCTATACTTCCCTACCACCTAGCCGTCTAATTTTGATCAAGAGAGCCACTCACCTTTTGATCCTAGATCCGACGTTTCAAAGTATTTTATTTTTATTTTTTTTATACAAAGTGTATGAACATGAAATTTGGTACGTACCATCTTCTCATTGGGCACACCTATAAAAATATTAAAAATAATGTTCCAATAAAATATAATGATTAAAAAACCCTTTGAATCTTTTAGGGGTATTTTGATCATTTTATTTTATTAAAAAATATTTTTTTTTATATTTTTCTCTAGTGAGAGTTTAATAGAGGATTGAACTTACAAAATTTGGTATCAAAATAGTTTATAGAAAAAAAATTAAAAATAAAATTGTGCAAAGAAGTGGCATTGTGATTGTAACAATCTTAGCCCTCCATTTAGAATGGACGGTGGACAAAGGGAAGTGTATAAGTTTTATGTTGTAAAGGAAGCATAAAAAGCTGGTCCGATTTTATCTATTCATGATTACATAATGATCGCCGGCTATTTCTTGAATGACCTTTGAAAAGGACCTTTACAATCTTATGATTAAGGGAAACTAAATAATATTCCTCATGACCACAACAAATCCATAGTCAAGAGGCTTATCAACATGCGATGGAGAGGTGACCAGCAATAAGCCAACAATAAGAAATGTCTCGAAATGGTGGGTCCCAAAACCCATTTTGTAAAGACAATCCATTATTTGAAGATGATTGAATGTCATGATCATAGGTTTTCATATGGTATTGAGGATCATAGAATGCTTTCACAATAAAGGAGGGGGCTAAAAGTAAGGGTAAAGTATCCCATTCGTGGTATTTAAATGTTACATTGTCACTTGGGAATGGGTAAGCTTTCTACGCTTTTTTTATAGCATAAAAGTTCTATCATCTCTTTTATCTAACCGTCCATTTTGAATGGAGAGTTAAGATTGTCCCAATCACAATGTTACATCTCTACACTATTTTATTTATTTATTTATTTTCTATAAATTATTTTGACACCAAATTTTGGACATCCATTCCTCTATTAAACTCGCAAAAGCAAAAAATATAAAAAAATAATTTCAATAAAATAAAATAACCAAAATACCCTTGAAATTTTTATGGGGTATTTTAGTTATTATATTTTATCGAAAATTTATTTTTAATATTTTTTATAGGTGCACCCCAATGAGAAGATAACACGTACCAAATTTCATATTCATACAATTTGTATAAAAAAAACTAAAAATAAAATACTTTGAGACGTCGGATCTAAGATCAAACGGTGAGTGGCTCTCTTGATCAAAATTGAACGGGGTTACTTAGACCCAAAGTCACTATGGACCCGGACAAAAAAAAATATAATGTGGGACCCAGACCTGAGTCGAGGTTACTTGTCGAGTCTCAAATCCATTGCCAGGTCTAGGGCTGTTTGCCGCTACTAACCATTTGATCTAAAGCTAAGATGTTAGAATGACATGCCACACCACAAGGAGATTGTAATGGGTAAGAGCATGGAAATTGTTTTTTGTGTTTTCGTGCTCGGAGCCACATTCAGATCCTCTGATCACCTAAACTACCAATAACAGACTTCAAATAGTTGAGGTAAGACTCAAATGATGAATTAAAGACGACAATTAAGATTTACATGAGCCCCATCTGGTAAAAACTTTTGGGCTTATTAAAATGGTGAGAAGAAAATTCAACAAAAATTTCCTAAAGACACTATCCCATTTGTCTTGAATTTGGGCCTCACATTACGCCATGTATTGAGTAGGTATCCGCAGTCACATCTAGGCCATACCTAACATGGTCTCTAGTGTCTATGCAAGCACATGCAATCGTTTATGGTCCCATGGGTTGTTAGTCCAGGCCTTGTGAAGAAGCCCAACTAAATAATTGTTGGGGCAGGTACCTGATTAATGCCAAAAATATCTATGAATTGATGCTTTCACCTTTTGCAAACCCACATTGCTCTACTAAATTTGCAAGTTACTTAATAACTTTTGCACTCTTTTCAATATTTACATTGAATGAAAGGGATTGTTTATAATGAGATGTGACAATTACTTATAACCATCTCATATAAAATTTGATAATTTAGGTGTCACAAAATTCAGATTTTTTTTTTGAAAATTGAGCTTGGTTAATAAAATAAATGTAGCCATCGAATTTTATATCTAATGGTTCAGAATAATTGTGGCTACCTTGTATCAAAAGTAGTGATTTAAAAATCGGTGATCCGATCTAGAATCGGACAATCTAGATCGGTAATCACTATGATTGTCTCAACTCCAGTAAAAAATCGGGATTTGGTCGATTCATAATAGTAGACCCGCTGTTTTTTTCGTGGAATCATTGTTTTTGCGAAACCATCGATTCTGATGATTATTCACCGAGTCCAACCGATTCTTAACCGAGTCAAGTGAAAAAAAAAAAAGATGAACAATTTTTTATTGAATTATTTTTTAAAAAAATTTAAGATAAAAATTATTAATTCCATCAGTTCTTCTCATCTGAGCCACCGATTCCAATACAGGTATGAGTGAGACTGATTTGAGGCGCGGTCCGTTTTTTTAAACACCCATCAAAAGTAAATAGTTTGACTGTATAATTTTCCATAATTTTATTAAAACTACCCCTCATCGCCGATTTTGTCCTTTCCTACAACCACTCTGAAAAACGAAGAGAGAAGAAGGGAAATAGTATTTTCAACCAACACTGCCTTCTTAACAACCTGCACCACCTGTATGTATTTATTTTCTCTTAAGCCGGCCCCATTTCTCTCTCTCTAGATTTTACTCATCCCTCTCCCACCCTCCCTTTCTCTCTCTCTCTCTCTCTCTCCTTCTATTTCACAGAACACATGCATTGATCAGCGCCTTTCTCTCTCTCTCTCTGTATTTCACAGAAGACATGCTTTGAACAGGGCCTTTCTCTCCCTCTCTGTTTCACAGAGACAAACATTGAGAACCCTTGCGAAAGAGCCATGAAAAAGAGCAATATCTCATCCCCCATGAAAGCTCTATGCAACAACTTTGGCCCCATTGCGTGCACACAATCCCCCCAAACCCAATCTTTCAGGGTCCCCCCAGACATGTACAAGAGCTTCAATTCCATGTTCCAAGAAGACCCACTTTCTCTCTCTAATGACACACTCTCTTTCTCTAACTCCATGACCTCGAACTCCGAAGGATGCAGCAGCACAAGCAGTAGCAGCCTCTCGACCGATAGTTCGATCATCTCATCAGCCATGGCTAAGAGCACAAAGAGGTTCTTTTTCTCTAAGCCTGGAGAGACAAAGTCCATTCTTGAGGAGATGAATTCTAAGCAAGAGCAGAACGTGGATTTGGTCTGTGAAAACCGGGAAATCGGGTGTGAAAGCCGCCGGGAAATGGGGTGTGATTTTTACAGTGAGAAAAAGGATTTGGGATGCGACTTTTACAGTGAGAAAAATGATTTGGGTTGCGATTCTTACAGTGAGAAAAGAGGCGTGGAGTGCGAGTTTTACAGTGAGAGTGTGACAATGTCGATGAGTTCCGAGGACCCATTATGGGATTTCAGGGTGTCAATGGAGGAGATGATTGAGGCCCATGGGCTTCGAGATTGGGCAATGTTGCATGAGCTTTTGCAGTGTTATTTGAAGCTCAATGAGAAGAGGACCCATAAGTATATTGTTGGTGCTTTTCTTGATCTTCTTTTTAAAATGGTTGCAGAGGCAGAGAGAGAAAAGGACTGATGATTCTTGGGCTTCTGCTCCTTATAAGGTCTCAAATGACGGATTTTTCTTTTTTTCGGTTAAGTCTAATTGAGGATTTTCAACTCCTTTTCATTTTATTTTCTATTTTTTTTTTAGGGTGTATATAAATTTCTGCTGATTTTTGTTCTTTTAGAGAGAAATGGAGCTGCTTTTGGGTTTCTGTCTATCTAATGGTTTCAGTTGGCAGATGTCCTGTTCAATTATTTTTGTGGGTGGATTTTTACTGTCATATTAATAGCCATTTTAATCTTTTTCTTTTTACACTGTTCTAGTGTTTCTACTTATAAACCCACATATATTTATATTTTGTGACAGAAAAAATTTAACAAAAAAATAACTTCTGTTGCGCTCTGTTATTTTTTTATTCTCCCCATTGTTTTACTACACACTTAAATGACTGTAAGCAGGCTTTAAATTCACGAAAATAGAGAAGTTCATGTCATTATGATTATTTGCAATTTTGCTTAAATTTTTTTTACATCCTAACTGAAGAGAAGACACCATTTACCATTGGTATAATGAGGTCCAATCAATCTTGTCATCGGATTTTAAATTGGGTGGCGACAATACTCAACATTCAAAAAAAAAATTATCAAATTTTATGATATAACTATGGCTGTCCAATTTGAATTGAAAAGCTAAAGGTATTTGTGACCTTATTGTAATGAAGATAAATGGTCCCATAATTTACAATCCCAAAAAACAGATAGGACCCTTTACCATTTTCTTAGGGTCGAAATTATTTTTAAAAAATGGGACTCTTTACCATTTTTATTCTGGTAGAAATTTTCAGCAAATGTTCTCTAGCTCAAGACCTCCCTGAAAAGGTGAGAGCGTTGCAGGTTTTTGCGCAGTGGACACAAGAAAAATGGAGCAGCAATCTACCTTTTGATGCATAATGGTGTACATTTATGGCCCACCTAGTACTCCTTTACGAGCATTCTTTCATTATTGTTTACAAATAAGCCAACAAATTGATCGCTTACACTGGAGCATGCTGTACATTTACTCCCTCAGGCAATGGGAAATAACCTCTCCAACCTAGTAAGTAACTTTAAAAAGAAGAAAGTTTCAAATTACCCCAATTCATGGGAAATAGCCCCTTCAACCTAGCAACTAACCTCAAACAGAAGAAAGTTACCGAATCACACACTCAATGTGCCTAAAACTAAATGATTTCAAGTGAGATTGTAGAATTAAAAAATCTATTTTTTTATTATTATTATAAATTGTCATTGGTAATCCTCATTACATTCGAAAATTTAGTTAAAAAAAGTGCCCCCAAATTGGCCTTTGAACTTGGGAAGTTTATTGATCCTAGATAAAAATTCATTTATTTTAATTAAATTAAATAAGACAAAGGAATTTAGTGATGGAAAAATATACAAAGAGACAATCTACTTTTAATAGAAGGTCACAGTCAATCTTGTCTCTTATATTTCAAATCAGGTGATTGCAAAAAAAAAATTTGAACTTTGGAACATGTATTTAAAGCATCCAATTTGACATCTAATGACTAGAAACAATTATGATCTCCTTGTAATAAAGATAAGCAATCTCATAATATGCAATCCCTTTAGTTAGTTGGATACCCTTTAAGTCATTGCATTTACATCAAATGCATTATCCTCATATATTTGAAATTTTTTAGGAAATCCGAGGAAAAGGGAAAAAAGAGATTAAGCATTTGATTTCTACATTATGAATGATAAAATCAACAAGTGTCTACAATTAATACTAGCTTTTTTATTCAATAGAACCCAAATTGGGAGGTATGGAAATTGAATACTTGTGTACCAAATTTGATTTTTGTAGCCGCTTAAAAATGGGATTCAAGTTTCATATGTATGTTAGATATTACTCCTAAATTTATTTCATGAACAATTGATTCATAAAGTAGGCTTTAAAAAATAAAATGCTCAATCTTTTTTTCCCTTTTCCTTGGATTTCTTAAAAAATTTGAAATGGGTGCAGTTTGTGTAGAGCCTAGGCTCTAAACAATCAAAGTAAAGCCTACCTTCATATAGTGTTGAGCAATGTGGTTTCAATATTGGAAATCTTTGTGATAACTTTAAAATATATTTTATCATTATTTATAAGTTTAAAGCTTAAAAAATAGTGAAGATAGAGCAAACCAATGAAAACTTGAAAATATTGAAAATCTTGAAAATTGACGGTCCAAAAATCCATTACAAAATACACTATTTTCAAAACTTGAAATCCATTTTTTTAAACTTGGCTCTAATGTGATTGTTTAGAACCTTGGCTGTATATAAACTTTTTCCTTCATTGAATCAGGTCCCATTTAATTTTAGGAGGAGACGTTGGTATCCAATAAATGTATCCCATCCCAACTATTGACATTTGGTGCTTCCCTAATTGTATTCCACTCCATAAGGTGCTATTCGCTTTCAAAATCCTAAATGAGAGAGAGAGAGACACGAGTCTACATAGTTTTGCAGCCAGAGAGAGAGAGAGAGAGAGAGAGAGAGAGTAATAACAGAGAGAGATAATAAGAGAGAGAGAGAG